GATAGATAGATAGATAGATAGATAGATAGATAGATAGATAGATAGATAGATAGATAGATAGATAGATAGATAGATAGATAGATAGATAGATAGATGGATTTGTTGTGGGACAAAAGAAGAAAAAATAAGGCTGGACTCATAATTTGATTCCTTTGAGAAACTGCAGAGGCCAGCTGTGCTTTTTGAGAAACAATAATGGCAAAAAAAAATCTTAGTAATGAGAGTTTAGAATAAGATGGAGCTTTGTTGAGGAGAAAGACCTTCTCTCAAGATAGATTAGGAGTTGGGTGTGAATAGAGCCCACCAGTGTTCCAGCTCAGCTGCTGGACCCCTGATAGTCTTTGAGCCCGGCAACAATGTCACCACCAGAGGCCAGGTCTCAGTGCTATCTAACCCTATTATCACACAGAAAGATTGATACACACCCCCTCCAGAGTGGAAGCACCACAAAAAAGTGATACCCTTCCGATGTCATTCATGTGAATTCACTAGTGTGCTCACCTCCACATCGAGCTATATTTTAAGCTTTCTGTCCCAGTTTAACTCATTACGCGGGTGCACTCAGACACTCATTAGAGTGCTGCAGCTTCTAAACCCCTCCCCATGACTGAAAATGAATAAAGACACGTTGAAAACTCTGTTGTGTATGAACCTGGGAGCCAGCCAGGTTCAGGAGTTATCTAACGGCCTGGAGGGTGTCGGCAGCTCATTCCACAATGCAACCTTTGACATTTTTCACACCAGCTCAATAGGCGAATGAGTAGAGAACATGAAACACATCACAGGATGAACAGAAACTCGGGCCCTGCAGCAACAGTGTGCTTTCGTTTAAGGAAATAGCCCCTTCGGTCAGACCCTCCTTGCTGCTTTGTCACACAAGTGAGATGAACATTGTTAGCAGATAGTTGTCAGAGGAGGCTGCAGAAGCTGCACTGAGTGAGATGGCATCCTGACTGTGAGAACTTTGACGCGACCAGACTGCAAGTGCCGCCACCCAATAACCATATAAATGGAAGACAATGGACCTAATTGCAATCAGTGTCCTCTTTTTAGTTTTTGTCCTTAGTTTCACCCTGGCATTCAGTCGAGACCGCTGCATGCATCTCAATAAAGCCATGTTGTTGTGAGGAGACCAGAGCGACATATATGCAGCGGAGCGGCGCAAAGGCCCACACTCTCATGACACAATGCAAATACTCCCACAGAAGTCACACTTTGGTTACAGCCAGTTTCTGTTTTCCTCATTCTGCATCTGTTTGATCTTTATTCCAACACAAGAATCACAAATGCTCAGCTATAAGTCGGGATTATTACTCCTTATTGTGATACGCTCAATTTGATCTTTGATCTG